TTTTTTTTACAACTCACCTTTCTATTCTGTTTCCTAGATCTGATGAGAAACATTCTTTCTCTTATAATTCAAGTTCACATTTTATTTTGAGACTCCTTCACCTTCACCCAGTCATTTGGAGTTGAACTGAGACATGAGAAGGCAAATGAAAAGACATTTACAAATACTTCTTTAACAGCCCCTTTAGAATTGCCTCTCTTCCAGATTTGTCTAAGTAGTAAGCGATCTAGTTCTCCAGGCACAGCAACAGACTGAGGAGTGAACACCTCTTTGGAGCAAGGGCATGGTTGTCCATGAGTGGAGGATGCTGCCATGCCTTCGTCTGTCAATCAAAAACTCAGCCATGAGAAACCTGGGATCACAGGGGCTTGTTTGTAAAATACATCAGTAAATGCTTGAATGATAGGATTGGCTCAACCTGTCTAACTGTGTCTAAAACCAACAAATTAGTTGAGAGTTGGGAATCCAGATTCAGCTCACAAAGCTACAGTGAGTTCTAGGCTCAGCTAAGAAGATCCCTCTTTCTCTTTCATTCACACGACTGTTAGCAGCACTGAGTCCCTGGTGTGTTTTCTAAGGACCATCAGTTTCTCCTGATGGGACATATCTGTGTTGCATGGATCTTGCCACTTTGAATCTCACAATGGTGGCACATTGTTTCACAATCTTTGAAAGAAGGAAGTCCAAGGCTTTTGGAACATAATCACAGAGATGCCAAGTCCTAACTTGTGCCGTGTTCTGTTCATTAGGAGCAAGAAACTAAACTCAGCCCACACTCGAGGGGATGGGAGACTAGAGGATTAATAGAAGTCTGGTGGGAGCATTGAGAACCATGGCAGAAGCTACCTACATCAAGCACGATGCCAGTGCGCTCTTGCTCTGTCTAGATCGATAGACTATTATTAGTGGCCTGAGGTGTGAATATCACATGTTTGCAATGCTAAATATAGCATTTGTAAGTACTAACTTGGGGACCAGGAACCTCATAGGTGCCACATTGACTAAATGCTGAGCCAAGCTTGTTTGAGTACCAAGAGACCAAGGGAATGAGGCTTCAGGAATGCTTAAACTTTGGGCCTCGGAGATCATGAATGAAGTCCGGACCCTCACGGCCATATTAGTGTTGTATTCTTAAGTTAGAGGACCAGTGAATCTCAGCTTGTATTCCATTATGTGCCTCCATGTTTTGACTGGTACTTTCCAGGAATAGGGCCTATAGACAGGCTCATAAAATAGTCACTAAGACGTAGAATGAAAGGTTTTGTTTGTTTTAGTGGTCCCTCTATCCCTACTCCCAACTTCCTGACTCCAGATGTGCCTATTTACTAGCAAAATCAGTAAAGAAATGTGAGTTTATTTTAGATGGAAACTGTTTAACACTCTTTTCTATTTTAGCTTCAAGTTGTCTTTGTAAAAAGAATCCAGGTTTTAGTCACCTGCTCAGGTTGCCATGTCTCTGATTTGGGAATTTAGGGATGAACTTTTTAATTCTTTTGCTCTTCTTGTTCGTTCATGATTGGCTCCTGGAGGAGCCGTAAAGCCTCTGATAAGAAGACACCAGCACGCTTGCAGACAAACTGAGTTTGCTCTCAAGTGTTGCAGACAAACTGACAAAGCTGGCCTGGCTCTTCATATGAACCTTGGTTACCACATGACCACTCTGGTACCCTAAACTATAGTTAGTGTGTATACCACAGCGGGAGTACACACGACACAACACAAAGGCAGGAATGTGTGTTTTATACTTCTTACCATCCACAGCATCTAATAAAGATGCATGGATTGGGGGTTTTAAAAGTATTTGAAACAGTCGGTAACACCTGTAGGAATATATAATGCACTTTGATGTTTCTTCATGTCCAATTTTCAGAGTCAGCTATACTTTTTTTAAAAAAAAGAAAACAGCACAAGGCATGATAAATGCACATGTAATTATAATTTCTATCTATAAAGTTATACATAGACTTTCTGTTAACTAAAGTCAGGTTAATGGTAGTTTTTACAAAATTATGTTTTTCTGAAGGTTGAGGCTTTGGCATTACCTCCCTTCCCAACAGAGTCTTGGTGTTTTGAGGTTTTCAATCTCTCACTTCTACCAATAGCTCTATCTTTTGCTTATTAGTGATCCCGAGAGGATTTGATTTCTGCATTGACTTGTGGGAATATTACATATTTTAATTAATATGGCATTTTGTGGTTTTAGTGCTCTGCCCTCTGCCATCTGTTTCCTTATGACAAGTAAAACACTTTTTACAAATTACCTAGTATCTTCCAAGACTACTAATGGCTAACCGTCTATATTTAAAGCAGAATAAATGTATCCACCCTCTGGAAGCCAAGGAGTACAGGCTGCAGAAGCCACAGATTTAACATGGAGTAAACTGCAATTGCACTTTTAACAAAAATTCAATAAGTAATTTTGATAATGGGTGGGATATATTTTGAAATAATTTTTTTGGTTTGTTTTTATGTTTCCGTGTGGAAAATAAGGAAGTCAGGTGATTAGGGCCTAGCAAAGGTCACTTCTTAGGTTGGTCCACTCCATAGAGTTATGGTTATACGCCATGGGCTGGGTGGGCCTAGAGATCATAGGACTGGGCTACTGTAGTTTACACATGAATTTACAAACTATACCGTGCATGAATGTTATTTGTCCACAGATGTTTTGAAGGATTGGAGTAAAATAGACAGCGTCATAAGGGGTCAACCCTGTCAGTATTGCAGCTTTCCTGGCCATAGGTGACGGAGTCATGAGGAAGACCAATGAGAAATAAGCCTTTTATTTTACGTGTTACAGAAGAACATTTGATTCACAGAAGAATGATGTTTGTCCAATGGCTAAGGCTCATGTCTCTGTTTGTGAGCTAAGACAACGCTCTAGTTTTTCTTAGATGTCACCATCCATTTGCTTTTGTTCAATTTCTCTGATACACTGTACAATAACTTAATGTCGGGATTTATTTTTCCTTAATAAAAAAATCCAAAAAATCTCCATTAAATTAAAAAAAAAAACTCCTCACAAAAACAATTACATTTGGCCAGGAGGGACAGTAAAAACAATTACATTTGGCCAGGAGGGACAGTGGTGGCTTATGCCTTTAATCCCAGCACTCGGAAGGCAGAGCCAGGCGGATCTCTGTGAGTTCGAGGCCTACCTGGTCTACAGAGCAAGATCCAGGATAGGCACCAAAACTACACGGAGAAACCCTGTCTCTTAAAAACAACAACAACAACAACAAAAATTACATTTGATAATGCTTTAAGCCTGCTTATCTTGAAGTGTCATGATAAAAGTCAGTCATTTGCATGTGACATGCCAAGCTCACAGAGTTTGAAGTAAGTTCATCTCAGCTCAGAAGAGTGCAGTGTGCATGTGGCCCTTCTCCCACCACCTCATGACTAAGACCCCATGGGCTTTGTAATGAACCAGAGTCACCTGTGTGTGCTGTATTGAGTATGTACATTTGCAGTTGAGGTCCACAGGAAGGACACCGTTTCCTGGATCAAACCACAGAGTGTGAAATACTGTGCCCTGAGTAGCACACTCATTACTGTTAATGTCAGTAGGGGGAGTCTTCCCAACTTTGATTTAGTGAGCGCCTACAGCAAAGCCAGCTGTTACCACTTCTTAACTGCTTGTCAGGGAGACCAGGAGAGATGCAGAGGGCCAAAAACATCTTTTCTCTGTATTTCTTCTTAAAATGAAGAGTTTCAACAGGTGTTTGATAGTGCCTGTGCAGGTCCTTTCGTATCTGCCGTCCTTCGGCAGTTGAACATGTGAGTTCTGCAGGAGATTTGCATGGATCTGTAGCCCCATAAATAAGGACGTTCATGCAGAAGAACTTTGGAGCTTGACCCCTCTCACCTCAAAATGAGCATTTTTTTTTAAGCTCCCCATGAAGAATAGTATGAAGATAGAAGAGAGAGAAGGCCTAAGTAAGGCGGCTTCCTCCTTGTCACTTTCAGTATTACCAAACCAATTTTAAGCCATGTGCATTTTGATGGATGTCAGCTGCCTTTTTGAACAAAGAAACCACTTGAAGCAAGTCCACGGGGAAGAAAGTATGTGGCTCTCATTTCTGCGATTTTTGTCATTTCTAGAGAGCATTAGTTAAACACATGTGGTCGCTGAGGATCTGACCACCCTTCAAAATCCTTTTGACACTACCCCGTGAGTACTAAGTGGAGATAATCTTAAAAAGTAGGGAAAGTTTAAGATCTTATCGTGAAGAAGGGAAGAAAGTCTCTTCCTCAGATGATTTATAACTTGAAACATGTTGTCGTGTTTTAGTAAACCCACTTTATTAATTCCATCCTTCTCTGTGGAAAATTAAAAGAAGATAAATGTGCTATTGCAGCCCCGTCCTTTCTCAATAGCATATTGTGCTTACAATGGCGTGGTGGAGTCTTGGGGCTGGGTTAGTCATATAGAAAGCCGAGCCAAATTCTGAGTAAAACCTCTAATTGAATTACCTGCCGAGCACTGACAGACCAGCTTTCAGGACAGACAAAGCTCTGCTTTCCCTAGCAGAAGTAGGTCATGTTGAAGTCCGCCTCCTCGTAACTGTCTGTCACTGGTTTTGACAACACTCTCAACTGTGGGGCTCTGTTGGGCCCTTTTTCCTGCAGTTCAGGAGGAGCTGTTCCTGAAGCAAGAGAGTTCAAGCATTGTCCTCCTGATTTAGAGAGAACTGATAGCAGATCAAGTTGAAGGGAAGTGCCTTTGAAATAGAAGTCCTGAGCATTTCTCTATAGATTACCACATTCCTGCATGACTCTTCCTTTATTGTACTGGAAAAAGAAGATGGGAGTGTGGAAGTCACCTTTCTATAGCATTTGTCTTAGTCTGAAAAGTATTATTGGTTTTAACTTCGGGACAGGAATCAGAGTATGTCCTGGAAGAGTATACATAGACCGTTTACTTGCATGTGAAAAACAAAGAATAATGAGTTGTTATTCTCTCCTTCTTCTCTTGCCCTGCTGCCTTGTCTTACCGACAGCCTCTGCAATCCCAGACAATGGAAGAAGGTCCTGCCTAAAACTCAAAGTCTTCGTGAGACCAACAAGTAAGTTCATTAGAACGAGCTTCCGAGGGTCCCTTCACGGCGCATGCTTTATCCTGTGGTCTGGTTCACAGCGGTAAAATTTTTTCTTTTTTTTATTTTTACTGTTAAATCTTGTGTGGTACCCGTTTTGTAAGATCCACATCCATGTTTCAGTTTTCATCGTATTTTTTTCTCATTGTTCTCCATGATGCTTTTCGTTTTGTTTATGAAAGTACACAGCATTTGCTAACTTGTTGTTTCTTAGACTGTTGTACGTGCACAGCAGATGGGAACAATGGCGGCATGTGGATACGTGCCGTTGATTGTAAAACAATCTCTACATCAATAAAAGGAAACGATAGAGAGAAAGAAAAAAAAAAGAAATGGGAGTTTGAAGGTGTCTTCACTAACATATTTGGCTGTTATCTCTATTTTTGTTATAGATAGCTGTATGAAAACTATAGGTGTTCATGACCGTGTTTTCGATGTTAACGACAAAGTAGAAAATTCATTAGAACCAGCAGGTTAGTATGCTTAGAGAATCTCTCCTTAACCAACGCATCTGCCTCTGGACGCTTCCGTACTGTTTTTTCCTTTCTTCCTCTCTGCATGTGTGCATGCTCCAGCCGTTTCTGCTCTTGCCCATTGCTAATACGACTTACCTCCTACCTCATTCTTCCAGTATCTTTGTGTAGTGCATGCTAGATGGAATACGACTTTTCTTTCTCAGACGTGGGTCTCAATGGACGCAGTATTCTAATATGGAAACCCTACCAAAATACTAAAATCTCACTGCCTTTTACCACATCCTCAGAGCGTGTCGGTGGACCACTGAATATAAAGGCCAGTTTTCAAACACGACAGAAAATATTTCTCTTGTACATGCTTATGAAACTTCCTTTTTTTTTTTTTAAATCCTATCTGAATCCGTGGCTAAAAGTAGTAAAACCTCTGCCCCAAACACTGACTCAACATCTTTAGTTCTCTCTAGAAATGTATGTGCATCAATGAAACCGATCTGAAAAAATTGTATTTCATTTCAGTATTACTTATCCGGTTTTTGAGAGCAGTTGGCCTGGAGACATATAATTGTGCTGCCACCACCAACTCGCATGCCCACCGCCACCACAAATATACACAGCAGCTCCTTGAGCCAGGAGCAAGCTTTGAGTACTAAGACAAAATAAGTTTTAAAGATAATTTTTTTTTCTACTACTGATGTTCCTACTCAAACTTCCCCGTCAGTGTGAAAAAAAGTAAAGGCCGCAGAATATTCATTCATTTAACCACTTGCAATGTAGCCTACTGTAGATAGTGTAGACTGGGGCAAGCCATTTATTTGCTTATAAATTTCATCCAGCCTTTGAATGCAACCAGACCCACTGTGGTGGGTAGCAGGCCTCTAGCCACTCTGTGGAGGACCCTGTCTTCCTTTAGTCCACCAACCTATGTAGATCTTAACAGTTTTCTTCATCCATCTCCCTCATGACCGTCTTAGAGCTAAAGAGAAATAAAATCATTTCCCTTCACAAAGAGATTTGAGCCTCCTTACGTAAATGATAAGGTTTCTGTTTGTTCTGTTTTTTTTGTTTTTGTTTTTTTCTTTCTTGTAGGACTTTTCTTTCTTACGGTTCTAGGAACTAAAGGGCTTTATAGTCCACTTCATCCTCGGAGTGATGTCCTAGGGATGACAGTGAATGAGCCTTAGGGAAACATACCCTGAGTAAGTGCCCTGTCTCTGGAGGTACAACCGCTTTAGCCCTGTAGCTGGCTGCCAGGAAGAGTTAGGGGTTTCCCAAGCACTCTAGTCTTTTTTTAGGGCCGGCATCTCTCACCCAGAGCACAAATGAGAGGTGTGTACAAGTAGCCTTAGTGGCTCCCCAGGAATCAGTCTCCTCCCCCCCCCCCCCCCGAGCGCTTTAGAAAGTTTTAATTGTGTCCTGAAAAACTGGAAGCATTACTGTGACTTTTCAAGGCACCAGACTTCAAGCTTGAGGATATGATTACCATAGGGACCACAAGTTAAACAGGAGCTCTTTCAAAACCGCAGAATTTACATTCTTCTTCCCATGGCCAAGGAATCCTGCCCAAGCCACTCAGCTTGTCAGACTTAATATCCTTAGCTCCCATTATTAGGATGATAGGAAGAGGCTCTTCCCTCTACTAGAGGTATAGATGTTCAGAGAAAACACTTAACTCCTAGTTTCACTAGGAAGTCATGACTAGAATGAGCAACAGGTTAAGTCTGTTGTAAACTTGCTCAGGACTATAGTTTTGATATATATTTTCCCATGATCATATTTCCTAGGTAAAGTCAATCGCCTCTCTAGTGAGGAGGAGCCTCTCTAGAGTCACAAGGGATTTTATGTTTTGGTTTTTCTTTTCTTTTCTTTTTTTTCCTGGTAATGAAGAAGAACACTGAAGACTATTCTGTTACTAAGAAAGTCAACTTTGAATTCAAGTAATGACAAAATGGAAATGTTAAGAGGCTATCCTACAGAAGCAGATGTCAGTGTCTTCTAAGACACAAGGTCTTTCTCGCACAGAACTTGGAATTCGCAGTGGCCCCAAATCAGTGAACATATACCTGATAGAAGTTTGAAAATTTTAGCAGAGTGTAGTTTAGTGTGTGTGTGTGAAGAGATTGCTGGCAAGTGTCCTCTCTAACATGGTAAGAGGGGGTTGAGCCGCAGTGCCTGGTAATATGAATATGTTAAGAGATTTGAGTGTTTCTCTTTATTTCCTAGAGAATTTAGTCAGTCACACTCGAAGTTGTTTACCGCTGTGTTGACTGTTGAATTTAAGAAATGATCTCCTTTGGCCAACCCTAGATGTACATACGGGCTCTAGAGATCCAGTGAGTCTGAAAGGATTCTACTGCATGTTCTCGGCCATGTGTACTAATTCACCTGTCTATGGAATGCGTTTGTCTTTTTTGTTTGCTTGCACACTCTGCCTGCCAGTTTCCTATCTTCAGGGATTCAGGATGATCTCAGGGCAGACATATGCCACGTTACATGCTCCAAAATACCAGTAGTGTTCTCAGTTAACCACTGAAACCCCCGTTGCTAGAGTTTTCCTGCCTGGCCCACAGTCAGGACAAATCTCTCTCACCTGCCAGTCCCACAGCCACTCAGACCCAACCAAGTAAACACAGAGACCTATATTGGTTACAAACTGTATGGCCGTGGCAGGCTTCTTGCTAACTGTTCTTACAGCTTAAGTTAATCCATTTCTATAAATCTATACCTTGCCACGTGGCTCGTGGCTTACCGGCATCTTCACATGCTGTTTCTCATCGTGGCGGCTGGCAGTGTCTCTCTGACTCAGCCTTCCACTTCCCAGCTTTATTTTCCTCCTTGTCCCGCCTACGCTTCCTGCCTAGCCAATGGCCAATCAGTATTTTATTTATTGACTAATCAGCAACACATTTGCCATACAGAACATCCCACAGCAAACCCCTGTGTGGTGGAATCCTGTAACAAAGAGGCAAGACTCGATTTGGCTTCTAAAGAGGAACTTTTTCTTCTACCAAGCCACACTCATTATTACAAGTACTAATAATCTCTCCTATGTAGGTTTAATTTCCATTCGGGTAGATTTTACTTGGGAGTTTCAACTTAGCATTCTGAAATTTCCCCCAAGTTATCTAGATGATAACCAGTTTTCTCATTAACTGCCATGGATAAGGGGTATGGGTGGGGGTGGTGATGTATAGAATTCCCCCATCAAAGACTGTTTTAATCAAAGCATAACTTGTAGAATCCTGACTCATCAGCATCATGTTGTAGAAACAAAAGCATGCAGTGTATTTTCCCATTTGAGGGAAACACAGGAGAGTGAAACTCTCCCCAGTAAGAAAAAGTACCCTTATTATGATAAGCACAGTAGGTGCATTATACATGAGGTTAAAAGAATGGACCACACAGCTCACAGAAGTGCTAATGCCAGAGGCAAGATCTGAAAGGTGTGTTTAGACTTACACTTCACTTAGAAGAAAACCAATATCTTCCTTCTTGTGGACATCAGTTATTCTGCAAGGTTCTTTCCCTGTGCCTTGTGCCGAGTGAACCTGGAATAGTGGCTACCCTTTGCTGAGCCTCTGGAATTGGTGTGAAGCAGGGGACCACAGCTCGGCATACTTGCCCCGAGTAGAGAAAGGCAGCTTGGGTATCCTTAAACAATATATTTCCAAGCTTCACAAGGTGAAAGATTGAGTACTGGGTTATTGAGAAAAGGGTGGAGAAGAACCCCAGTAGGTGATGTAATTTCGGGTGTATAAATATAAGTGATGTTTCCAAATGAGCTGTGGAATCCTCGGGGTTTATGGTTCTTTTATAATTAAGCCTGAAGTGCTCCATTGTTTTGATTGACACCATATTGGTGCTCTTAAGAATGTGATTTGGATTTTAATTTCAGGGCTATTAAGGGCCTTTACTTCTGCCTCCTGTTAACTACAGATTTAATTAATGCATTAGCAACCCTGAAAAGAGTAAAGAAAAGATGAAGGCCCGCACGTACTGGGCTACACTGTGCGGGATTTGCCTCCCCATTCTTGCTTCCTAACCCTTTCTAGTCTCCTAAGCTAAAAGCAATCTATCCAGGTTTGCTCAAGTCCAGGGAGGGAGAAGAAATTAAACAAAGGGCTGTAGGCTCCTAGATGAAGACCTGCTGAAATAGGAGCCCTCTGGGGCAGAAGACTTAATTCTGAGAAGGCATGTTTCTTAGTTCACATGGGACGTGAATGAGATGAACAGAAACTTCCAAAAAGTGTGAGCCAAAAAAAGAGTTCCCTTTAGGACAAATAATAGAATGAGTGACTCACCCCTGTAAGAAAAAGGACCCTTAATGTGACATGTGTGGAAGATGACTTACATGAGGTTAAAATAATGGACAATTAATCTATTAGGAGACACCCAGTGGGTCAGTGAAGGATGTTAGGGATTGTCTTGAGGGGTCTACCTAATTGAGGACAATTACTGGCGTCTCACTTGTTACTGTTCTCTCTGATTAACCAGTCATCGAATCCCGAGTAGCAATTCTTGTGTTCCCATGGGAAGTCCCCCTGATGCTGAAATGAAATCTGCTCAGAGGCCAACTGTCAGCTCCAGAAACATGTTCAGAGGTCATCTGGGCTAAAAGCATAAGCTAGGCCAGATGGGAGGAAGGAGATGGGCCACATTAGAGAATAGCATGGCTCATGGGCAAGCCTCCAATCTATCTTTGGGCACTAATTACTGCAAAGTTCCCATTTCGAAGTTAAGCCTGTTAATCATGCAGATCAGGGAGGCTATCCAAAGTCAGAGGCAGCCTCGTAGAACACTTTATAGCTAAATAAAAGAAGCTTAACTCACTTAATCCATTTTATTTAGAGGAAAATTTGCATCCACACTGATAATTTATGTGCCAAGCTTCAGCCTGATAAAAATAAGAATAGTCAAGTTCAAGTAATTTAATCTGGGAGATGCAGGGCCCGTAATGGAAATAGCACCATAATTGATTCCTAATTGTAGGCAGCCCAGTGGGTACAGGATTTCTGAAGTTTACTGGGTATTATATATAGTTTATTTAAAATACTGTTGTTTTGGCATTTAATTTTTCACATTTGAAAATGCGTGTAGGCACCGAACAACCAAACATTCAACACTAATCCTGTGAAATGCCTAAAACGAAAGAAATGAGCAGCCCCGTCTCCTTAACCACTAATATGCCCACATAAATCTTTCTCCTTCCCCTCCATTACACGGCTTTCCTCCCCACAGCCCTGCAGACTGAGAGGGACCTTTCCTACCTCAAGTTTTGTGCAAAGTGCGTCTGACTGGTAGCAAGTCAGAAGGAGCTTATGCAGCAAATACTATACTGGATGCACAGTTTCCCCCCTTCAATTTTAAGAGAGAGTATAAATATTGTGAAGGAAGTCCAATTTTCCCTGCCTCTTCCTTTGTTTGCTGTAAATAATGAGTGATTATGCAGACATGAAAGTCAATGGTGCCACAGGGTTCATTACCCTACTTTGCAGAGGGTGGCGAGGTCTGTTAACAGCAGGCTGCTGCAAAGAGTTATTAAGGATGTGAAATCTCATTGGAATGTGTGCTTTCTATTTGAACAGATGACACCGTACATGAGTCAGCCGAGCCATCCCGCGGCGAGAACGCGGCACAAACACCAAGGATACCCAGCCGCCTTTTGGCAATCCTGCTCTTGCTCCTGGCGATGCTTTTGACATTATAGCACAGTCTCCTCTCGTCACCTGTCACAGAAAACATCAGGGTCTTGGAACACCAGAGATCCACCTAACTGCTCATCCCAAGAAGGGACTTGTTATAGGTTTTTGGCAGATGTCAGATTTTTTTTTGTTTGTTTGTTTTCTTTCCTCCAGCCCGATTTCTAAGCAACAACCTGGGGTTGTTGGGGGCTAAACTAGTCACTGCCCTCCTTCGCCCCGCCCCATCCCCAGCCCTGGTCCTTGACTTCTCTCGCCCCTTCCAAATTAAATGGACTCCAGATGAAAATGCCAAATTGTCGTAGTGGGGCTTCACCCCCTGTGCGTTCTTCTCCAGAACTCACCTCTGTAAGCTCAGGGTGTCGACGACGGTATGCAGATAAGGAAGAATTGTGGCAGATGCTGCCAGCCATGGCCTGGCCGAGAGGGTGTCCCTCTCCTACAGTACTTATGCCTTCTCATTAAGGACAGGAAGGTGATTGTGTGGAGCATTATGTTGGCATGTCAGGTCCAGAGGGGCAGAAGTAAGCCGAGACATATTATTGCACCATATCATCTAGGACTGTAGGAATGAGCAGGCTTCTCAAAGGTTCAGATACTAGTTTTTGTTTTATCAGATACGACTGTCTTAAAGCGTTCTTGCCAGCAAAACGTGTGCTGTGTCGAAGAAGCTTTTTTTCTCCCAGAAGGAGGGTTGGATGCAGGGATGCTAATGCAGAAGAAGTGTCTATTGAGAAAACTATCTGTTGCTGGGGGTGTGAGTGCCTCTAACTTTTTAGTGACTGGGCAGTGCACACCTGATTTTTTTTTCCTTTGAATACAGATCACCATGGTGCTACAACTTTTCTTTTTCTTTTTAGGAGCTCAAAGAGGCATTTTTATGAATAAAGTGACCTTCCCCGAGGCTGACAAGCCAGGGTTGATGAGTAGAGAGTGGAATAGCTTTGGCTGCTCCCCTGGGGACAATGTGTAGAAAGAAAGGAAGTCCTGTGGCCAGAGGAGATGCGATTTGGCTTTGCTGGAGCTCCCATGTGCTGTGGCCTTGCCCCAACTCCCACCCCGATGCCCACGTTCTGCTCCATGCTCCATGATCACAGGGGACTCAGACACAAACCCTGTCACCAGGAGAGTCAGTCAGCACTACTTGGGAGGGCTAAAGGGAAATTTGGAATAAAAATTCCAAAGTTTGGAATAAAAATTCAAGCATTGATTTTTTATATTCTTTCCCTTTCTGACACAGCCTAAAGCGTAGGGGGAAACATGTGTTTATCTATGGGAGATAAACAAGATGGAGTCCCAAAGACTTTGACAAAATATTTTTTTAAAAATCCACTAGAATAGAAAATACATTATTTAGATATACTTTATGCTGAGAGTGAGTATATATGCTTGTCCTATTTAAACTTGTGAGAAAAAGTGGTATCCCTTGATACATTTAGAAACATGGGGGGTTATCTTGTTTCATAGTAGGGTTGGGGCAGAAGGAGAATGGACACAGGATGACCCTGTTTAAAGAACCTTAGCATGGCCAAGGAGGTGGTCCCAGCTGATGACCAGGAAACATAAGCTGTGGGGTTTCTCCTGGTGGGGTGTCATGAACTCTAAATCCCAAAACCTAGACAGGGAAAAGTGTCAGCCCAATAGAAAGGTGATCTAGCCTTGTTTTGCTATTGCACGACATCAATAGAAACCATGCCTTTGTAAACAAGCAAGTCAGTAAATGCAATGATCATGTAATGTGGAAAATTGAAAGCATTCCAGAAAAAAAAAGGATTTTTTATATATTCGTTTTTAAGATGTATATGAAAAAAAAAGGAGTTCACATTATAGATGGACTTCATGAATCGGAAATTGCTTAGAATTGTGAGTAGTTTCAAATTAGAAAAATATGTGAATGGAAGGCAGCTGTGAACGTACTGCACCCTAGAGAGTTGTACACACATTGGAATGTGAGCTGGACTTACCTGGTCCCTTTGGAGTGGAGACAGCTGGAGTCTGCTCTTGCTTGAACCATCTGAGTGGGGTTGCCAGCCTCAAAGATATTATCAGTTTCTTTCTCCACCATCGAAGACTCCTCTGGAGTGGCCGAGTCTCATCACAGAAGGCACCCACCGTTTCACTGAAACAAAGCTTCAAAGCATTGGATTCCTTTACCTTTATTTATATACTGGACACTCTCAGTAATATCCAGATATCTTCTGTTTATTGATAGTTACAGGTTTGTGGGTTAGTGGGGTTTCGGTAAGGGGACAAAAATCCCCTTCTAAGATGGATCGATAGAACCAAAATAATAATGCATGTACTACAACCAAGGAAACCACGTGATCCTGTAATAATTCCAGTTAGCCCTAAGGACATTAGCAGTTCTAATGTCATTTTAGAAATGGTGAATTCTGTGATTCTTCTAGCATTTGTCTCTAGCAAATGATGAAATAATTACTCATGGCCCTCTCTGCCACTGTCTTTCATCTTTCACCGTGCAATTAGACCCTTTTACGTCACTGTCGTGCCGCCACAGATTAAGTTAAAAAAAGAAAAAAAAAAGCAGAACTATCCACACCAGTAGACAATATGCTTTTCTACCTGTAAGGGGCATAATCATAGCTAACGCACTTGTGTGGCGTTTTCAAGACGGTTGGTGCCAGGCAGTTTTTATCTTGTCCAAAAAGCGCTGGTGGCCTGTTGTGGTGGTGTTATAATCCTCTGTGGGCTTCGGATGTCTGTGCACCTTGGTAGTGGGTTTAATTTTAAAAACAGTCAAGAGCATGAAGGGAAGCCTTGGAGCCCCCTCAGCCCCAGTTGGTCAAACCCCAGCGACCTTTGCCCTTGGTTGCCAAGGCCTTTGCAAAGTGAAGCAGGGAATAAAGATCTGTCTGTTTAGTGGATACTGTGTATCCTTTAATAGACCAGGTAACAGTCCGTGGTAGTTTTAGACTATTGTTTTGTACTGTACTTTCTTGGGTGGCAGAGGAAAGAAAAGTTAAAATGTTGAAAAAAAAACAACAAAAAAAAAACAACTGCGTTCTTTAATTCTGTATTATTAGCAACCTCTGTTGTATATAGTGTTTGATAATAAAGTATTAATTTGATTCTTATGTCTTTTGTAAGTGAGAACAATAGACTTTCAGGATACAAAACATGCATTGAGGCTTTGAAACATCCAATGTATACATGGCTGAGAAGTCACGTGACTGGAACACTGCTCCATACTGGACTCGTGTCATCATTGCCCACTCAAATCTTACAGCTCCATCGCCTTGGGACCGAAACAACAGGACTGCTTTGATGGATACTTTGTCCTCAGTGTTTCCCAGGTCTGATGTCGGAGCTCTGTGGTCCTTTCCCCCACCCCAAGCATGTGGTTTGAAGAGGTTTAGAGAACTCTGGTTCTGTCCTTTGGTTTGGTTTTCTGTTTGTCATTTTTCCCCCCAGGAAGTCTTGTCAGCATCAAGTGCGGCTCAGACTCAGGATGGTTGCAGGCCAGTCCCTTTAGGAAGGCTCAGTGGGGCTGGTTCCCTCTCTGTGTCCTTGTGCAAGGAAGAGTCACAGTACCTGTGGGCTTTCAGGGACTCTGTTTTTCTCCTGTGCCTTAGCAACGGCTGCAGCCATTTTTATTAGTTTCACGAACTTAGGAAAACAGTTTTAAACTCCTCCTTTTCCATTCATTGCTCTCAGAGCTGTGGTCACCAGCTTTTCTTTGGAAGACCGCCTCCACCAACACCCCCGTTTGCCTGCCCCCTTTCTCTCTTTTTTTCCCCCTTGCCTTCCTCCCGCATTCTGTTCCCCCACCAGAGCCGTGAATGGGCAGGTCTGTCTCTGGTTTGGCATCACTGAGAGTTGTTCCCATGCATTTGCCCCAGAGCTGCTCGGATGTGAGACAAATCTCCCTACAATGGACTCGCTCCCATTGTTTGTACAGTGTAATAGATGCTGGCATGTTGGAGGTTACCCATGAGTCAAAGTCCGTTTTCCATGCTTCCTCTTGACACCCCATTGAAGCCACTCATTGTCTGTGCGTCTGGGTGTGAAGTCCAGCTCCATGTGACCCTGTGCTTGTACTCCCTGCTTCGCAGTCCTTTGCACTTTCATCGAGTGCTGTTTTGAAATGCTGACATTATATAAACGTAAAAGAAAATGTAAAAAAAAAAAAAAATTAAAACACACACACGCAAATCCATACGATCTGTATTTGTATATACACGTGTCCTTACAAGTATACCTAAATAAAAATTAAAGATTTTCATCCTTTTAATTGGATCCCTCCTTCTCCTTTCTTCCTTGAATGACGCCTTTATTTTTAGGGACTAATTGTACGTACTCTACTGATTTTTAAAAATATCTTTATGGACAGAAAAGATAATACGACAAATGTAAGAGAAGGTATGGGAAGATCCAAGAAGGCAGGGTAAAATGAGGCACATTTATTCTGGTGAGAAAATGATGCAATTTCGGCCTTGTCTGTATTTGAGCCTTAAAACAGGCACTATGGCAAGGCTTGCACCCTACGTGACATAGGTACATCAGGAGTATACATATTCTATTTTTTATTACTCATATTTTTCTATCCTGCCAAGAGAAAGGCCAAATAAGCATTTTCTAGCAGCCACCTTCCACTTTAGAAGAAGCAGTAGAAGTAATCCTTTCTGTACAGCCCAAACCTCGATTCTCATCATCAAGGAAGAATTAACTTACATGGTGTGACCATGCCAAATGGCATGGTATCTCTAGGACTGTTTACTTATCTGAATATGAAGACATTTTAGACATGACTTGTCGCTGTCCTTTGACTTTTTTGCCCATTTGGGCAGTGTACAGCCCATTTTGAAGCTGAGTGAGAAGTATTTTTGTCTTTGAGGAATACATTGATAAAAAGACAGTTACAAAATTCCATCTGTAGAGTGAAAACCAGCAAATACATGACATAATAGATACCTCATGCGCTTCATAACTTGGCTTTAATGATCTGATATTCACATTATGCCCACAGAGACCTTCCTACTGTAATTATTTGGCAGGGCACAAAACAGTAATAATTTAGTATAACTTTTTTTTTCTAACAGAGTGACAGTATTATACAATGAAAGACAACACACATTGTTTATAACAAGATGAACTGGACTACGTATGTGACATTTCTAACCAGAACAGCATCACATTATCATTGCCATTTTCACCATCATCCTCCAAAGCATTGAAGCAATCATGACATTGTTTTCAGTCTGTGCTGTGCGGAACGATCTTCACAGTCTGGACTTTCAAATTTTACAACGTGAGGCCGACTTTACGTGGAAACTTAGCAGTATTAGTGTATAGGTAAAAGTGTAAAATTCGGGTCTTTATACCATGCACAAATACATAGATTTTTTTTTTTGTTTTTATTTTGTTTTGTGTGTTGAGTGGGTGAGGAAAGTTGGGAATTTTAAGATTAGAAAACAAAGGAAATCATCTAAACAATAGTCAAAATGAGATTAGGAGTGTGTTACCAAATTGAAAACTTGGTAAGTGAAAAGCCACTGTAGGCTTTAAGAGAGATGAGATTATGAAGTGGCTTTTCATGGTTGCCATAAAGCTGAACATGAGAGAACCCAAGACAATATGAGTGTTGCTAAATGCATTTTGAATACGTTGGTCTACAGAAATTATCATTTCTTCCCCCGAGTGAAAGAGATGACAATTTCAGATTCCACTCTATATAAATCATATAGCTCCTCCTGAATCCAAGGCTATATCTGCATTAAACAGTCCAGATTCTCAGTGAAGGTAGAGGCTACGCTCACATGGCATACACACAAACATGGCGCACAAGCATACACACACATGGTTAAGGGAGCTAAGCACAGGATAAAATCTGCAGACTGATATGGGCAATTTGATCATAGCTGTGAGCTTCAGATGAGGAGACCATTCTCAGCGGAGAGTGCTAGCCACACTAATGTTAAAGCAAGCTGGAGCAGATATGATGGGCCATTGCACAGTGTCACAGGAACCTCACTTAGTTTTGGCAACAACACATTTGGAATTTGTGGTCATCCCAGGTGCTGAAAATAAAGTATCACAGGGGACATTTAGTATCTAGGTTGCCATGTGTTTTGTGAATAAAACACATACGTATTAGAATCTCAGATCTCATAGGAATAAATAGTAAATATAGGTGCTATAAAAATTCAAGTATTTCTGAGAAGTTGTTCATTGATCACAACAGTTTCATGGGAACTGTTTGCAAAACAGCTTCTTAGAGATTTTTTTGCAAAGCTTAGTTTCATGTTCAGCTAATAATATCACAATCCTTTAAGAAAGAACGGTAAAACTGCTGTGGAAAGCATTATGTTTTCCCTTTGGAAAAGAGATATTCCAAAAATCATAAATAACTAATCAGACCAGTATTGTCTTGTCAGTTTTTAATGTGATACATTCCATTTTATTAAGTTGTTCTGTGGCTAATACATGCATATGCCTATTTTTAAGATGGAGCTATTACTGCTTGACTTCTGAGTGGTGAAGCTGTATTACTTCTGTCCCTTGCTTAAAATACAGACAATAAGGGAATGCCTCAGATTTAAAAAGAAGATGAAGAAAAAGACAGGGAATTGCATTGTACAGGAAACCATCAAAGGCTTTACCAAATGTTTAGTGTGCAGAAGAAATGCTTTGTCAAGCCAGACTCATGAAAAACTAAGTACCTAGTTACAAATCCTGGGTTCACTGTGCAAATAGTATTTCCAGGTAAGCCTTCACTCTCCTTCCTGCTTCCAAGCAGAATGCAGGTTTTTTGGTTTTTTTTTTTTTCCTCCTTTCATGTGGCATTACTGGACTCAATCCTTAGGACCAAGGAGAAGAAATAGTAATAGTGGCCTCATGTTCAACCTGCCCCAACATAAGGAATCGTTTGTTATCTTCATCACAGGTTGCTGCACTCTTTTCAATGGCCTCTGCACACACTGAGAGGGAAGCATGATTTCATTGCTTATAGAAAATATCCCCCTGTTCATTCTGAGCATGCCATGAGCTCTGCCATATTTCGGCCAATGACAGCACTATTGGTACCAAAGCTGAAGGCCGGAGAATAGTAGAGAGGAAAAGAAAGAAAAGAAAAGAGAAAAGCAATCCCTGCTAGTTTCTCTTCTTGTCATTTGCTGAGGGTTTTTGGTTTTTTGTTGTTATGGTTTGGTTTGGTTTGGTTTGTTTTGGTTTATCTTTAGTTGAACAGGAGGGTTTTTTGTATCATCCATGAGAGAACCCTTCCTAACCACAGCCCACAATATAACAGCTCTGAGACAAAGACACTGGTGTCAGAGCTAAAGCAGGGGCCTCAGCAGACCTGACCGACCATTTGGTGTAAAAACACCACCTCAAGGATGCTGTCAATCAATGTTAATCAGAAGAATTCAATCTAGTGGGTGGTTCTCTGAGTCAATAATACACTTTGAAATACCCTGGATTTCCATCGTGATTATTCAAGCAAGAACTTCATGTTACTTGGTAACACACGGATGCTTGTCAATCCTGTCAAGAACACAAAGAGAGGGACAGGGGAAAAACATCTCAAAGAGATATGACAATGGGAAAATAGAACAAAATATTTTTGCCTGCTGTTTTGCTCACAAGTACCAGGTGCTTCCTCAAACTGCGTGTGTGTGTGTGTGTTTGAAATGTACCCACTGCCATTTTCTTTGTCTTACACCCATGAAACAACACCCTAAAACAAGAGAAAGAACAAGTTTATTTCCACACACATCCCTGAAAGTGAATTTTATCATCACTCTTTGTGTGTGTGTGTTCAAAACTTGCTTTTTTTTTCTTTTGACCCCTTCCATACCCCTGTGCTGGGAAAGGCCCTGTGATTTGTGTAGCAGAGTGTGACAAGTACCTCCTCTGAAATATGTGTTCTGCTTTACTAGATCGAGACACATTTTCTACAGCAGAGAGAACAGGACAATCTGTGTCTTTCTTTCTTTTTTACAAAAGACAGTGTGCCAGCCCGAAAGCCGACTCCATTTATTTCTCCTGCGGGGAGCCGGCGTGTTCCTTCTGGAAGATGCAGGTACTTAAAATAGTAATAGGCTTTGTGGTTTATAGAGAGTATTTCGTCCCAAGATCTCAAAGGCATGAAGAATAAAATATAAACCAATGGCTCTTTCCAGCAACCTTGGAAGAATTAACTGGAAAGGGTGGCTTGTCATCTCCTCTCCCTAGAGGAACAGAGCCCTGCAAACTGCTTTACCCAGGTAGCCCTGGGAAAGAAGGACGGGAAAGTTCGCCTAGGATTTGGACAGGGGTCCCAGTCTGTTCCTCCCCATTCCTAAGAACTTAAAAGCCAGGGCTGAAAGAAAAGCAAATGACATGTTTATCCCTTTTTAAAGGAAATTTCCAAAGCCCTGCAATCGGGAGAAAGGGACTGGGCAGCTTTCCAAATACATTTTATTTGTGAGTCAGTGGTTTTACCACAGAAGTTTACTCTTCAATGTAACTTTCTTCTCTAATTTCTCAACTCATCACATGCCCTTAGGATGTATTCAAATTTATCTCTAAAAGTTGGGAAACGTTTAATTAATCCTAGGTATCTAGACAGAATTCAGGACTCATGTAGAAATCAATATCTGGATGCGCAAGAGCTGTATATAAAACACTGTAGTGTTTTTATGAAACCTCAGGCATCCTCCTGCATATTGTAAATCATATCTATACTCCTTACAATAGCTAACACAATGTAAGTGCTCTGTAAATAGTTCTTGTGCTGTGTGGGAATAATGACAAGCAAAAAGTCTGCATTGTTAGTACAGATGCATTTCCAAACAGTGGTTGGTTGAATTCATAGGTGCCAAACCTGAGGAGAAGGGAAAACCAACTCTACTCTGTACGGTCACTTACTTCAGGTGTTCGCCCCTACGCCCCCACCGCCCCATCACGCCACATAAACACACTCAGACTTTTTTACATTCTCTAGTTTTATGTATTCATAGCAGCTTTTTTTTTTTTTTCCGAGGCATTGTCTGTTCTGAGCAATGTGGCATTTGAAAGGACACTGGGAATCATGTTAGACATATTTGAAATCAGTCTGATAACATCTAGAGCCATAGGGCAAAACTGTGGCAGTTAAAAGAAATCATGCTGGGGGACGGCCAGCCAAGCACGACAATATTCACGTATCTGACCACACTGTAGAGACTTCCCAGAGCTCAGCTGCACAGGGAAACCATCTGCTCTGGCAGAAGCATCACTTGGCATTAGGGACCCTTGGTGTCTTTCCTTCAATTATG